AAGTTTTAAAAGTACATAATTATAATAATTATAGTTTAAAATAGATAATATTGATTAGTAGCAAATCTCTTGTATCATGTGGGGGGAAACAAAATCTCTTATCTTTAATGTTAAACATTTATAAAATAAGTTGCACAGAAATCATTAAAGTTGCCTCTTTTACAGCTCCATCCTCCTATAATTAATCATTATGGAACATGGAAGGTTGGTCCATAAGAGGATGAAGTATTTTTAAAAATAATATATTTAATATAGGAAATTAGTCAACGAATGGTTCTATGGTGTAGTGGTTAGCACTCTGGACTTTGAATCCAGCGACCTGGGTTCGACTCCCGGTAGGACCTCTTTTTTCCTTTCCACATTCCCAAAACTGCATCTCGGTGGGTCCAATCAGAAAGCCCACTAAGAAAAGCTGAAGTAGCCCAAGCCCAGCACACAAATGAGGCCCAGAACAGGCAGCCCACAACTTATGAGGACACGTGGCGATATATAAGAGGGTGTGAGTCTGAGGAGGTCGCTGCATCATAAGCACCACTTTGTTGACAGTTAGAAATACACTGTTTCCTCCCGCGAAAAAGCAGTTTTGTTATAATAGTTTATTTGTGAAGAACTGGAAAGGCACGAGAAGCTAGTGGGCGGTGGGGTGGGCGAAGCGAAGCGAAGCGAAGGGCCTTCCGTCAGACATGGCCCTATTTCTCTCTCTCTCTCTCTTACTTTTTCCCATCTTCTCTGCTCTCAACTTTCTACTTCCACTCCCAGCTGTTGCTGTTCCACTCCTGTGGGAGCCTGCTCTTCTGAAGATCCCTGATCTAGGTCTCCACCAATATGGTGAACGATACTGAGTATTACGACATTCTCGGTGTTCGTCCTTCTGCTTCCGAGGACGAGATTCGTAAAGCCTATTATCTTAAGGTTAGCTTTTCTGAGACTGGAGGATTCATTGATTGATTGATTTATTTTATAAGGATTTTTGAGTTTTGTTCTGTTAAGTACTTGATTCTTGTGTTGTTGGAAATCGATTAGGCATAATGAGCATGAATTGCATAATTAGTCTGGTGTTTGACTTGATTGTTTTGGAACAGGCGAAACAAGTCCATCCGGATAAGAATTTGAATGATCCTCAAGCTGCTGAAAGGTTTCAGGCAAGTATACTCTGGCTCATCGTCTTCTTTACCTTCTACGCTTCGTGTTTGGCATAATGCGGAACTTTTCCCCAGCGGCCGAAATTGTGTCGAATGAGATCATTTAGTTTACTTCTTGCAGGTGTTAGGTGAAGCCTATCAAGTTTTGAGTGATGCAGTCCAAAGAGATGCATATGATAGGAATGGGAAGCACAGTATTACTAGGTTAGATCTTCATTTGTAATTGTGGTTTTCTTCATCCACGTTGATGTCATGTTGTTCAAGTTATTTAATTTTTCTCTGGACTGTTGTTTGATGTTATTTTCGATAATTTGCTGTTTTTTCTTTCGACATTATTGGATCTTTTATGTTCAGGGAATCCATGCTTGACCCTACTGCTGTCTTTGCACTTCTATTTGGAAGTGAATTGTTTGAGGACTATATTGGACATTTAGCTGTAGCATCAATGGCTTCATCTGAATTAGAGAGCGAAACTGGTAATTCAGAGAGATTACAAGATAAGTTGAAGGCAAGTATACCTTAAGGTGTTTACAAGTTACGATAAGTGAAATATAATTGTTGTGCCTTCTCTAAAGGAATTCATATTGGCCAACTTCTGCAAGACAACCTTAAATAAGAAGATTTCCATTTCAGAGCACACAATTAACAATGAAGATACTGTTGTATCTAGTCAGATTCATGCTTTTCCTACAATAGTTTAGTTGGTGACCAATCCTTCTCTAAACAACTTTTATATCTATAAGCAATGTTAGATAAGAAGGAATCCTTTTTCGTCTTTTTTCCCCCCCAAACATTCTCTTTCTTTCTCTTTTCCTTTTTCTAGTTAAAATTCTCAGGAACATAATTCTGTTTCCCTATTTAATTCTCTCCCTTGCACATGTTTCTCTCGTAAAATTTGAAAAGATTTCAACATCTTTGAGAAACTGTAGTTTTAGCTTCCGGCAAAGTTAGCACTTAAACATCGGACTCTTCCATGCTCCAACAAGGGATGTTTACTTGGATAATGTTTTCTTCCCTTTCTATAAACCGCATCTCAGATCCCTTATATGCAACTTATCTAATGTAGGCTGTCCAGAAAGAAAGAGAAGAAAAACTTGCACGCGCACTTGAGGGCTTTCTTAATCAATATGTTCAAGGTGACAAAGACGGATTCTTACGGCATGCTGAATCTGAAGCCAAAAGACTCTCTAATGCGGGTAAGAACAACTATGAATATGATATTGCAATCACTCTATTCCTTGTGCCTTTTTCCTTCCAGATTCCATTAATTGCTAACTTTGACCGTTTCTTGGTGCAAGACTTTTGAGTTCTTGTGTTTTTTTTTTTATGCAAGAATATTAATGATAGCTTATTAAGTTCGGCATTTTCTTGAAAGCTTACTGATGCAGGAGCCTCTTGTATTTATACTGATGATCCTAGTTTTTACCCATCTTGGACATGCAGCTTTTGGTATTAGTATACTACACACGATAGGCTACATTTATTCAAGACAAGCAGCACAGGAGCTTGGAAAGAGAGCCATTTATCTTGGCGTGCCATTTGTGGCTGAATGGTTTCGCAACAAGGGGCATTTTTGGAAGTCACAGATAACAGCTGCAAAAGGCAGGAAGATCTCAAGCTTACAATTTGTCTTCTTTTCCTCATCGATGATTAAGTATTTTTCTTTAATAATTTGCTACTTAATCATATCAACTATTTATATGTATCAGGTGCTTTTCAGTTGTTACAACTTCAAGATGATATTTGCCGGCAGTATAAAATGGATGGTAGTGGCCCTGAAAATGATATTGAATCGCATATTAGATCGAATAAAGACACATTCCTCAATTCTTTGTGGAAGCTTAACGTGGTGGACATAGAACTGACTCTTATAAATGTGTGCCAGATGGTGAGCTCTCTTCTTTTTCCCTCTTTTTAAAAGCGGATATTTGGGAGCTTTCCAGGGAAGTTCGTTGCACGTTGTATGATTCCGTGGCATTAAGACTTGGGAATAAGTGTTAGCTGAATTGTTACTTTGACATTGAAACTAAAAGAGGAAAAAAAAAATCTTATTAGGCACACATAATGAATTCTTTTGTGATCCAATTTGTTCCTCAGGTGCTACGGGATAATACTGTAAAAAGGGAAGAACTAAAAGCTCGTGCTCTGGCTCTGAAGATTCTTGGAAATATATTCCAGGTTTTACATGAGATTGAGATCTTGCATCATGTTCACCTTTATTGTTCATTGATTGCCAGAAGCCAGGAACCACTTTTTCCATTATTAAAGTGTTTCTTAGTTTTTCTAAAAATTCATCGATGCCCTACAAGTTCTGGCCATTTTTTATATAGGGATCTGGTGATAATGGCTTTTACTGGATATAATGACACCCCTCTGATGTCAAAGTCACAGAGTAAAGGATGCCGGGATATTGTGCATTTTCTGATGTATTTTAAAGGATAAGGATGATAATATTCCAGTTTTTAACGCCTTGTTATATATATTACTTCATCTTTATCAGCAGGAGAAGCAAGCACAAAATGGTGGAACATCAAGAAAGAAAAGTGCTGCTGCAGTAGATGACGATGGAACGAGTTCAGAGAGCAGCGACGATGAGGATGATCCCCGAAGACCACTATCTTATCGAACTCCTTTTCTTACTCAGGCAAGTTGATCAATTCTTCTCTCTTCACTCAAAAAGATTCTCTTTATCCATGTATATTGAAACTCGAGCTGAAAAGTTCGGCTGGTACCAGCTAATAATGCTAGGTCAGAATAAGCAAAAACTTGACTCTTTTCGCAGATCCTCTAGAATAATCATGCTAGTTGGAACGCTAGTTTCTTTTCCGAACACATGTAAGTCATAAGAAAAATAAGCAACTTACCTGAATGAGTAATCGACCCTTTCAGTTTCTGACACCTGAAAGGGTGGTCGGCCTGATTTTATTGGGAGTAGGAAAAGAGAGCGAGGATGTGGAAAATCATACCTCTGTCTATGGATTTAGTTTGACCTTGAATAGTCAGTATGCACAAATATTTAGAAACTCTTCTAAAAAATGACTTTTAATAATAATAGTCACGTGAAATTATAAGTTTATAAGTTAAGTTTTTTGTAATTTTTTATTCAACAGTTTATTGACTGCATAAATCTACTAAATACAATGTGTAAGGTCATGTTAAACACATTATTCACAGTAATACGACTTAATAACACCGATAAAAAAAAAACAAAATCAAATTTGAAAATAGACAAGTCTTTGCTACAGTCTCTAGTTCTGTCATCTCTGTGATGAAGTTTTGTGATTATTTTTGGTTTAAGAACATGACAAGTAATCGTTGTTATAATTTACCAAAAGACAATTCCTGAGACATAAACAGCACCTCACTATTCATGCAATCATTTAAATTTAGTAAATTTCATGCTTGCATTGAAGTCAAATTCCAACAGAAAAATCTCGACCAGAGGAACACTTTAATTTGCTTGATCTTTTGCGCTCTTTGATGGGAACGATGTTCACTGTTGAAGTTCTATATCATTGTTCATGCCGTGCAGGGTATAGGGAGACTCTTCAGATGCCTCTGTAATCCAGCATTTGATGTGGACGATGAAGAGATTGTGTATAAAAGCAAATGATGAATATATATCTATTCATGCAGGAAGGTTGTACCTCTTTATCTTTCAACTGGCACAGAAGGCTCAAGCCTTCAATTGTGTTGACAATTGATGTGGTTGGACTTTTTATTCGTTAATAATTTTCCAAATCCATGAATATTTTTTGGTTCTCCAAAAGGGCTGCAAATGTAAAGCTCAACATTTTTTTTTTTTTTTTTGACCTTTTCCAATGGTTGGATGCTCTGTTGCTTTATCCAGAAGTCTTATGAAATTGAAGACATTCCACATCTAAACAAGCATGTGTGGAGATAATATAGTTGGCATCTTGATGTCCGTAAGCTACATATTTACAGATGAAAAGAAAGGGAAAACAGTGAGAACAAAGTCCTCATATGTTCCAATTCCCTTGATTCCGAGGTACATGTACAGATACAACATCATGGTTTTCGGGTAAAAGAGTCGTTCGAGATTAGCAACCAATCTAAAAACTTATTCCCATGTTCAATGAGCTGGATATGGAAAAGCAGAGGGGGCACGGTGAGCTTGGACTGCACAAGCACAATGCACAGACATCAAATTTAGACAGCCACTCATGATGAGGGAATGGCGGCCGGAGCAGGTGTGGAGGGCAGGAAATGAGTCACAAACAGCCTGAACAGCAGGGGGAGTAAGAGCTGTGCATTGGCTGATGTTAAGCGTTCTAAGTCCATCATCATCATTCTTTCCCTTCCCCGTTGTTCCCCATTTTGTTGGCTTGTGCTTTATACAGCTATGTGCCAAAGAGTACATTGCTCTGTCTGTTATGTTCTGACAATAGTAGAGCCCAAGTGACCTCAGATGAGGGCACATATTTGCCATAGCAATCACACTATCATCTGCAGATATGAGGATCAAACTTCAGCCACGCTAACAACGACAGAACCAACGCTTCCATCAACCATAAAAAAAATTCAACAATTTGAGAGAAAGAAAATACCCCCACCCCACACGACATACTCCGACAATAACTTCTGATGAGACAGCACTTCTTACCACAAACAGATTCAACTATGTTCGTGCCCACCCCCATAACCACACGGGCTTACCTAAATGGAACGACTTTCTTAGTTACGCTGCGATAAAAGAGCTTTCACTTGCTCTCACCCCATGGAGGAGGAAACTCTCAAAAGATGGAAGCTCCTGCATCTAAGGGGCCTCCTATAGTTTAAATGTTCTTTCTCATATCTAAGATGAGAGTAGCTCAGTTCTGGAAACAGGGCAATTGTCTTAAAAGAGGTGGTAGAGGGTTTTGGAACAAGTGGTTATTTTTATTCTTAAACGAGATTCAGTCCAAGCATCTCCTAGGCCACCGCTCGAATAGTATCAGTTACTCACTCATATTTACACACCTTGTCTGCAAGAGGAAGCTAACTGACCTTGCAACACTTAATTCTCAAAAACTTATCAGATTCGAATATTACGGGCCGCCTTAGACTTCTAGTGTTCTTTTAAAAAAGTGTTTAACAAGAAACCGAGCTTCGGCATTAAAAAAAAACTCAACTACAATGATAATATTGAGTTTGAACCCAAGAGAAGATGCTATTTGGTTTCCTTTCTTGGGCCCATTGAAGAAACCCATGATTTCGTTTCAATCAATCCATCAATTTCGTGGAGAGAAGGGCTATGCTCGGCAATAACAACCAGCATGTCGGATTCAGAGCTGGAAGGATAGGGAGTGAATGATATTTGAGGTCAAGAATACTCCTTTCTAGTAAGAATATCATGAATCAAACAGCTATACTCTATCAAATCAGAAGCATCTATCATCTTTTCAGTTACTAGATATAAATTTGTTGATTGAATCGAGAGATGTACCTGTAATTAGGACACAGCCACACAAGTCCAGGGTTCTAAGATCACGACATCCATACGCCAAGCTCATCACACCCACGTCGCTCACATTTTCACACCATCCAAGATTTACGGACTGCAAACTATTACAGTATTGTCCAATAGCCTGCACATAATTGAAAGTTAATTACACCAATCAACTTCAACATGCTATATAGATTGCTTAATCTTTAATTTGTACCTGCAATGCAGTGTCAGATGCAGCCTTGACACAGCTACAAAGATTAAGAACTTTTAGCTTTCTGCAATAACTGGCCAGATAAGCCAGTGCAGTGTCACTGAATGCAGTACAACCGCTAATATTAAGTTTCACAAGATCAGGGCAACCATGAGCCAGGGCATACAGGGAAAGATCACTGAGCTTGGAACTTTTTCTCAGGTCCAGGACCTGCAGATCATGACAGTAACTAGCAATGGTCTCAACAGCATCATCGGCGAGCTGGGGTTTGTCCTGGCGCAAGATTAGAGTTTGTAGTTTTGCAAATTTGGGAGCAAGAGATAGGACCAAGTTGTTCATGTTCTTTTTGCACCTGAATCAAAAGGGGACACCAACTACCAATTAACTAAGGCGTCTATAACTCGACAACTTTCGTTGCCAAGCATTAATCTTGATCAAAATAAATCACTATATAAATACTTCTGATAAGTTCCAAGCTGATCATTAAAATGTATATAATAATAATGTTGTGCTTGACTTAGCATATGACACCAGTGATGGGTACAAGAATCTAATGGGGTGTGGCCTACATAACAACAAAATAGCTGTCATTCATTAGACGTATAAATGTCCAAAAGTATATGCTTTTCTGGGGGGGTCCAAGCAGCAGGTTATTCATTAAATAAATGCCTAAAAGTAAATGTTGAAGCTGTACTTACAAAATAACAGTCAAAGTTTGTAGCTAGAAAAATCAAGCTTGCACCGTTCCTGATATGTTCATGATTTATAAGTGAAAGTACTAAAAGTTGTATCAGATAATTATGGAACGTTAACGATCATATCTTAATAAAGAGTCATGCAAAGATATTAGACACAAAAATAGTCCTAAAAAATCAGGCTTTACCATCGGAATAGACTCGAGTAATAACCAATGATCTAGTTCCCGCTGAACACCTCGAAAAGGTAGCAGAGAAACAGGATCGCCTCAATTTGAGACATAACGAGGTACTTTCTCGAGAAGTTTTTTCTTATACATTCTTGGGAATCTGTCCTATCAACTGTAGAGGGACTAGGACGCAATATAATATGTTGGGCAAAATTTATGATAAGGGACAATATCAAAACCCAAGCTTTGCCCGATTCTGCAATAACAACAGTGATTTGATCTTAAACATGTAAAATCAAAGACATACGGATCCGAGTTTTTTGTAAGCTTTTGAAACATGTGATGACATTTAAGCACTAAAGAAAATCAGAAGAAAGGAGTCCATTTCATCATATGATATGAAGCAATAACAGGAGAAGGAAATCAATATGAACCAGGACGCAATTACATATGATTGAAATTTTCTCTCTAATAGCAACACAAATCAACATGTTTATAGAAACATCAGAGGTTCAACAATCAAAATTCAAAATAGATAGAAAGGCGTTCAAGGCAGATGAGAGAAAGTACCATGATAGAGAAAGATGGGTGAGGCCAAAGCAAATAGCATCCCTCCATCCACAACACACGCCTGAAGCTACAATAACAGTTCGATCATCAACAAGCGATATAATTTGCAAGAGAAGCTCCATAGGAATGTCCTTCCATCCGGCAATCACCCCACCATCCATTTTAACCCCTTTAGCGCCAACGTCGATTCCATCACCACCAGCAGCAGCAGCAAGCATCATTAGTTTTTCAAAGCACAAGTTCAAGTCCTCAGTCCTCAAGTTTTCTTTACCAACCATTTCACTCAAATTCCCTCAACCCCTCCTTCCCTAAAACTTATCAAACCAGCCTAAAATTATCAGAATTTCCTCGCTTCTGCCGCCTGAGAGAGAGAGAGAAAGAGAAGATAAAAACGAAGAACTCATTAACCAGGTAAAAACAAGCATCTACCCAAATATATCGCACTCTCTTGCCAAAGATTAAAGGAAAAACCGAAAACAGAGCGACCCAATTCAAAAAGTCCCAGTTCTGTAGCATGATGGTTGAAAACAAACAAGAAACCCACAAAATTTAACCAGAAGACATCAAATTTCAGGGAGAAATCAAAAGAACACGTAGTAAAAGGAAAACCCTGAAAAGAAAAGGCAACCACATATACTAAGAATCACAGAAAAAAAAAACAAAAAAAACAAGTAGGGTGCTGATGATCAGAGCTCAAAACCCAGTAGCGATCAATAAAGGGAAAAGAAGTGATTACCTCGGACCGCTTCAGGTGAAAAGAACAAAGAAATTCCTGTAAGGCGGAGGTGAAGCAGTCAGCCGAAGGTGGTCTATAAAATAGAAGACACGCAAAAGGAAGAGCGCCAACAGCGTTGGCGTTGGGACTTGGAAAAAAAAAAAAGGTCCGGTGGCAAAGAAGGAGTAATGCAGATTGCGCCACGTGGAAAGCATCCTGCGTGAGTGTGAGGATGGCCTTCGGAGTTTCAAGTGGGGCCCACATCCTGTTTACGTGGGGACCACCAAAGGATTCATAATTGAAATTAAAAATGAAATTGAACTAAATACCAAACTCCAATTTTCGAATTTTTTTATGTATATTTTAAAATTTATTTATTGATTATAAATATTATTTTATATTATTGGGGAACAGAGTGTGAGGTGTGCGTAGAAGGTTCCATGTGTAAAAAACCGAAGCCGCACTCAAAAGCAATTCCTTTTCCATTTCATCCCACAATCGAAAAATGGACCCTTTTTATTTTTATTTTCTTTTTTCCTTTATTATTAAAAAAGAATATTACTCCAAATTCCTTCAAATTTAAAAATAGGTGAATTTTTGGTATTTATTCAGCTAATTTCCTCTCAAAGTTATTTAATAATATTCCTTTTTTTTTTTTTTAATACCATGGTTTAAAAAGTCATCCAATCAAACATTTTTTATATTAAAATTTGGTTTCTTCCATAATTTTAAAAAAATTACGAATATACCCTTCATCATTGTTCATATCCCTTATGAAGACAAAATTGGATATATCAATCATCTAAAAAAAAGAACAATAATTCTCTTCTTGTGAAAAATCTTAAAATAAGAAATTAAATGCTTATTAATTGATGAACCTTAGCTTCTTTTTTTCTTTATAATATATGTCATTTTCATATTTAATAAATCCTAAACCCTAAACCCTAAAAATTTCTGAAAAAAGTTTTTTTTTTTTTTTCTTTTTTCAGATATAATACTTGAAAATCATGATTAAAATAAACAAAATAATAAAAATGCACTTTCAAACGGAAGTTAACGAACAAAATTAGAGAAGATTTAAACAAAATATTTAATTAAAAACGAAGAAACAGATCGAAATAGAGGAAGCCCTATGCATCGTCAATCATCGTTATCATCAATCAAGTAAAGACAACAGTTGATGCTGGGAAAGCAAAGGCATCCTATGGTCTACTTTAGCCCATTCCATTAAGTGGGGTACTCAGCTTTATACTAAATTGGCTAAGATATTTAGATTTTACTTATATGGCCATCACACCCAACCAATCCATTTCATTCTGTTCATGCTTTTACACTAACTTTTCTTTTTAAAATAAGGGAATACTTTCTATCATAGTCTTGCTGCGTCGACCTTCATCTTCTGCCAAACATCTTTCTTTTGACCAATTAAAAAAAAGGATACTGTCTGTTTGCATCTCATGAATCATTGAATTCTGCACTTATTTTGGGCTCTGTTCATTCTCTTATTCCCATCTCAGCTTCCATGATTGATGTTTTGAATGGATTTTTCCCCTTTTTTTCTCCCTATGGCTAGTTTCTGGTAGGGAATTATTGAGTGGGTTATGGCTTTTAGGTTTCTATGGTCTAGAGGCACTAATATATTCAATAAACTTTGCTTTTGTCCGATCTGCTGATTAAAGATCAGTGTGTGGCAACAGCCCAAGTCCACCACCGGTTGGATATTGTCCGTTTTAGCCCATTACGTATCGCCGTCAGTTTCATGGTTTTAAAACATGCCTACTAGAGAGAGGTTGTCACACCCTTATAAAGAATACTTTGTTTCCCTCTCCAATCGATGTGGGATCTCACAATTCACCGCTTTTCAGGGCCCAGCATCCTTGCTGGCACTCATTCCCCTCTCTAATCGGCACACCGCTTGGTGCCTAGCTCTAATATTACTAGTAACAGTCCAAGTCCACTGCTAGCGGATATTGTCCGCTTTGGCCCGTTATCTATCGCCATCAGCTCATAGTTTTAAAATGCGTCTACTAGAAAGAGGTTTCCACACTCTTATAAATAATGTTCCGTTTCTCTCTCCAACCAACGTGGGATCTCACAATGTGTGTGGTAAGTATTCTACCCTCTAGTTAGTAGTCTCTGTCTGCTTTTGTTTTTTTTTTAATGTTTGTTTATAGTCGTATAATTTTGCTGATGTTTGCTTGTTTGTTATTTAGGTAAACATTCATAATCAGAGATGTTTCAATTTCACACGTAAATCCAGACTCATGGTAGGAAAATTAGAAACTGTTGAAGTGCAATAAATGAATCAATACTTCAATTTGCATGCTACTGACCTTTCTTCCAAAATAAACCATAAAGTTTACCTGTAAAGATTGGACTTTCTGAAACTATGATAAGCAAGTTGATATGATCACGTTTTCTGGCATCACCCGTTCTTTGGATCCTGAAATTAGCAGCAACAGATAAAATATCATAAGAAAACTTGGGTTGTAAGTGCTTTTGTTGATTAAAAATAAATAAATGAAGCCAGCCCTCATACATGTGACCAGTAGATTACAAAAATGGAGTGATGTTAGTGTGAAGAAACTAACACTTTTTCCAGCCAGCAAAGAACAGCTAGCTTACGTTTGAAAAAGCTTCCTAGAGTCTGAAACAAATTGCAACTCCTCCCCAGTGAGCAAGGAGCGATAGAAGGAAGTAAGGATAGCATTGGTTCTTTCGGTAAACCAATGCATGAGCTGAGGCTCCCATGTCCCACCAACCCTTCGAAAGAGGGCGTAGGTGGATTTCTATCCTGAATAATTGGTCCTTTTTGCTCTATTTGCCTATTGCTTTCTATTTATAGATAAATAAAAGCGATCGCGCTCCTGAACCGATTCATTGTTGGTCTCACAATTTCATTGCCTCGATTATAAGGAGAGGTGAAAGAAAAGACTTGAGATTGATTTAGGAGTCTTTGAGCCTCACTCAACTATTTGTATGGGATGAATGGAGGACGAAAGACAAAGAAAGGGACAAGTGGGCTTGATGATTGGAGAAAGGGAAGGGACGTGGTTGGTGTGTCACTGGGTCGGTGGGGAAACCCGATTCTTTCACAAAATGAAGGCATATTAAGTAAGGCAAAGATAATGATGATCAATTAATTTCCTAAAACCACATATTTTGGAGGCTTACTGTGGATACCTAGGCACCCAGATTTGTTGGTCCATTCATCATTAGACTCCGGATCTGTTTCAATCATTTTCTGTACTTTCTAAGGGAAGCCCATCGTCATAAAAATGGAGGATCATGAGGAGTTAAGAGGAAGCACTTACCCCTCCTTTACACATCTCTCCACACTGCTTCAGCTTTCTTCCAAACTCCATCTTCCATTGCACAAAAGTTAGTTCCAGCAAACTACTTTGGGAATGCTTTCAATTGGTATCCCACAATAGCAAACCCACACAAATGCAGAGAGAATAGACAATAAACATCAGAACAAAGCAAGCATAATCTGTTAACATAAAATCACATTTGCTGCAAAAAAAATGAAGCATATACAAGTCCAGCAGAAACTTACCCGGATGAGGCACTCTGCGAAGGATTCCTAAGCACAATACGTGTATCGCCTCCCAGCCTCGAGTTCCTAAGAGTAATCTGGAGCTCACGATCAGTGCGATCCTTTCCCATCTACCTGTCATTGCAAATGCTTGAGCCCGCACCAAATACAGTAAGGATGAATGCAGTTCCAGCTTCATCACCCTCTGCAACCCTTTCAACAACTTTAGGTCTCCATGAATTGCACAGACACCAAGAAGTGATTTGCAAAATGTAGAAGTAGGTTGGCATTGTGGTGTTTTAATAATATTCCAGCCCAACTACTACAAAAGAATAATGTTCATTCCTCAGCACGATCCGTGTTCATATGTCATTGTAGAGAAGGTGACTATCCCCTCCTCAACAAAACCAGCATGACTGCAAGCTAATAAGACTCCAGCTAGAGTTATCCTATCAGGCAGTACACCTTCCCTGACCAATTTATTAAAAGTGCGTAGGGCTTCAAAGTATACATTGTTAACCAGAACCATAATCATAGTGTTCCATGATATCAAATCTCTAACGGACATATCTATAAAGACTTTCATGTAGTTTAGGATACATGCTTACCAGCGAACGAGAGACAATGGCTTCAGATTTGAAACCAAACTTCAGAACCAAATTATGAATTTGACTACCCAACTCACAGGTGTGAAAACTGAAATGGAGCTCGGCACACTGCTCAGTGTAATCTCAATTGGCCTGAGGTTCTCCCTTATGGGATGCACAAAAAGCCGCATGGAATCGCTCTGATGACCATGCCATGCAATGCTGGAGAGCATGACATGACAAGAGCTTGACCCCATTAATTGGTTTCTCCAAAAAGCTACACAGCAACGTTCAAGCCGTCGCATTTGGAAAACAAATCAATTGCAGCACTGAGTCCAATGCTGTTAGAATTAAATACCATCTTGAAACATAAAGAAAAAATTTGCTTACCCAGTTCCAACTCTTGGAGACAACAGACACTGGTCACGATTAATACAGTGAAATGATCGGGAGAGTGCTACTAGAGAGAACTGATATAGTGCCAAAACTCTTAAGCCTGGTCTGTGGCAGCCCAAAATCAAAGAGTTTCAAGAGATAACATCCACCTTTTCCATACTAAAAAATATGCAAACATATAATCAACAAGGCCAAAATTTCCACTGCATATTAATCGATGAATTTCTGAGCACCACGCTTGACACATCCACACCACTTCGAACCATACTGCCAAGAATTTGCTTACCAGACAAGCATACGACACAAGTGAAAGCAAAATGGAGAAGGTAACTTGGTCTAAAACCAGCGTTTTTCATTTCCAGAAAAACGTCCGTAGCATTATTAGCAAATCCAGATCAAACAAAACCAGAAATCGTAGAGTTCCAAGAAATAATGTCCTTCTCAGGCATTACCTGATGGCGTGCACTTTTGACATCGCCAAATCTAAATATACCCTTCAAGCATATGTTCCAGGATACAATATTCTTCTTTTAATGCCACCAAGTGGTTATCAAATATTTTCGTGTAATTTTTTTATATTTTTAATATATGTTATAAATATGTTACATTTGATAGCAAAGTTTCATTTTCCTCTCACAAGTTTTTAGGTTATCAAATATGTTTCTATTTGTTCAAAAAAAAAAAAAAAAAAAAAAAAAAAAAAA